GCATCTTTGAAGGCAGTAGCAAAACACCTCGGATACCTACTACATTTTGCATAAAGTACCGAGTCAGCGCATCGGACAAAGCAAGGTAAACGAGTAACCGTAAAATTTTTCAGATAAACAAACTTAGCAGATAAAGCGGTAAAATAATGGGAGAATTGCAATTCTAGTTTGAGTTGAGTATGGGGATGTGTCTACGCCTACGTTACTCAAGCGGTATTTTTTTTATATGATACAAAAACAAGCCCGAAAAGCAAAGGAGACACCAACAGGTAGAGAGGAACGCTAGTGTCATCCAGATCCCTTGAAACTACGCTAGTACGCAGTAGAGATCTGATGAAGTAGAATTGATTGGCCATGGATCGCCATCAGATAACCAGAACCTGCGGGGGTAAGAGGAGTCCGATAATCTACTTTAGCATCCTCCCTCGATATGATGAGACGACTGTAGAATTTTCTCGCGTTGGAGCCAATGACGGCATAGAAACGTTCACACTTACGTCCAGTGTTTGCACTCTATCCTCCTTTGGACACTTGTTACGTTACGAAGTTACGGAGCATCGTTATTATACGATATTACATAACACGATACACATAATAGTATAATTCATACTATAATTATTAATATTGTACAGCTGACAGAGAAGCAGTGGGTGACGCTAATTTACATAACGATAAAGCCGACCGACATGTATAATGCGAACACAAATGCAAACGTGCCCATCGAATCATTCAATCCGTTTAACTAAGCTTGAAGTTCTATTCATGCTGCCCATTCTGTGTATTGAGCAAGTAATCTATCGTTGCAGTCATGAAGTTTCAAATTCTTACTGTTCTCGAGGTCTAAACCTCACGTCAACATGAACGACAACCTCGCGCTGCTTCAATTCATGTTTAATTAAATATTAGATGCTCCTTGTAAGGACGACTAGGTCAGTGGGCACAGGAGCTTCGCGACAAGAATAGATTTTGAATATCTATTTGCGGGTACATCGTTACATTGCTGCTTATCGATGCCCGCTCGGGATACTTCAAAGTAGGCTCGAACATAGCTCCATGTTGTTTTCTATGAAGTGAATTATTACATTAAAATACACATCGGTTGATATTGCATTGCGCGCTCTTAAACCCGAATTAGTTTAGAACTATTACTTAGCTAAATAAATATGCGATTTCGTTGGTAAAAACCCTGCCACTAAGTGCGCATCCTCTACGTTTTAGCCCACGGCGTCGGCGCATCTGATTATAAGCGCATATAGAGGAAATCTATGTGTGAGTAAATTATGACGATGTTTTATATTTCCGTTAACAATAATGCCATTTTTCTTGTTGCAATGATTTGCAGTATAAAAGTCGCAACTTTTTGCTGGACTTCAATGATATATGTCGGTAAGTGCCTTCAGACCTTCTGGAGAAATAAAATACGATTCTTTATGACCCCGAACTTCACGATTGCATTAAGTTACCCCGGACGAATACTCTGCTTAAGTTTGTCAGCACAACACCAACGATAGACAATGATAATAAAATGGATGCCTCGCGGATGTAAGACTAAAATTAGTCCCTACGCTCAAGAACTATTATGCTGTGGTACCAAAATCTGATGGCTCTTGGTAAAGCTAGCTAAAAGGAAATTAGGCCAAGTATGAACTGAAACCGGTAACCTGTTTGATATGCAATAATCTCTCAAATAATATTGTCTGACATTTCGAGGATTGTCTGTCTGTCGGACGATTTTCTGGTGTATAAATAACAAGAGCGCTCCGAGCTTTTAAAGGTTCTGACAGTGAATCACTATCAATGTTTTGCACCTCTGACGATGCGATTTATAGTTTTCACTGTGAATATTTGATTATTGTGAGAGTTAATTTTTAGTCACTTATAACGCTGGGATACTGGTTAGGGGTAAGCATGACTAATATACGTACATGTAGCGTACGAGTGCTCGACGGATTCAATACCATATGTCAGGACATATAAACAGAAGGGCGTAGCGGGGGTGGAAACAACGATGTTACCGTTGGCGATAATGATGCCATTACTTCTGCTCCATGTTAACTGGGTACCTGGGTGGCTTGCGTGCACAACGTGCACCGTGCACGGATCGAGGCTTCGATTCTGTAAAGGATGGAAGGGAGGGCGAAGGAGCGACCTTCAACTGGGCGCTGTCTAGTGCCGCGCTGTGTCCCTATGAAGGCGGAACCATCTGTTCTGCTTATGAATAGTGTCGCAATGTCATTTGACTAGAAGACTATAATAATGTCTGCAGTTAGCCAGCAAAAATAAAGAACGGACCAACGAATATAGCGAGTACCCTTACAGCCGGTGCTGCATTGTGCCACAGGAAATGTATACAAAAAAATCGTTGACCATAACTATTTATTATAACACCTACTAGGACCTTTTCAGATTTTTATTAAATATCCACTATTACTATAGACATTGATGAATTGCTGTTTACATTGTATATCATCAATGACATAAGATATGTTTATATAATCTGCTACATGATCTTCCGAAACCCGAATTCAGGCTTTAGCAATCGACCTTTTATTTAATAAGGTCCTTTTTGTATGATCATCTTTATACAACCTTATGTGGTATTTGGCTTTGCTAGTTGTCTATATATGCTATGTCCTTTGTGCGACTCTTCACGTATGCGTATCCGAACGATATTATGCCATAGTTCTTCGTATCACGCCTGCGTTACTTTCTATTCCGCTACAAGATATGGAACGATCTCTGCCGTACATGCTAGAAGGATTTTGACGCCATCAAATTTTGGTTCTCCCAAAGGTTTACCCGTAACTTAAAATGACTCTAGAATTCGACGAGGTAGTCTATGTTGGAATCGTTTCTTGTTTAGAATTGTTGAGGTACAACAAGGTTTTATTGGATAACCTGGGGATGGCCTTTATTGACGTAATAGTACCACATGAGCAATGTGACATAAGTCTGCAATACGACCCACGCTAATAACGCAAGTATGCACTTTATGAGCGTTCATAGCAGATTAATGCTACGCCGACACGTTCATGGCTCTTATGGCCTTATATAAGGCAAATTTTTCAGAATATGACGGAAAGAGATACTTGTCTATCACAGTATATCAATCCTGTTCTTGTGTCAGCCTCCAGTGTGTTAGCCTTTTGTTTCAGCGTAACAATGCTATGGTGAGTCTGGTGGCGCTCATGTGGCAGGAACAGGTATGCAATCGTATGTTTCTATGCAAATGAATTTCCACGAATGTGCAGCAAGCTGTTTGTCCTCTTCCATTTTTCCTTTCGCTCACTTTCTCTTTCTCGGAACACGCAAAGGACCTGCATGCGTTGTCATAGTTAGTCATAAAACTGCTGATATTTTGTACGTTACGGACCGTCCCGTCGACCGACCGACCAGCTGAACAAGCAGGCGAAGGAGCAAGATTGGCAAACGAATGGTGATAGTGAGTCAGCGAGCTACCGTTAACGTCACCGGCTGAAGACGGGCCGCATTGGCTGCTGCAGCAGCACTCGTGAGTTGGCTGGCTGGCGCCAGGACCGAACCTACTGTCTTTTTGGGCCTACCCTAGACTTCGTTGGCCCAGAGTGCCACCAGGCACCTCGGGATCTTGTGAGCCGCAAAGCGCCGCTGGCCTTCGCAAGCAAGGGATGGGGCCTAGACAGGACGGCGCCAGCACCCCAAGCCTACCGCTAAACCTCTCCCCTAGATGTGCGCGGCTGCACTCAGAGGTCTTACAAAACTCGCCTAGGCTCACCATGGCCGTCCAAGGCCACCTACAGCGGGATGCAGAAAAGGGGTTAAATTGCGTGGGCCCGATGTATTCCAGCCCAGTTAATAGAACCGACACATAGGACGTTTGCATGCTGTGACAGCTCTGGAGTTAACTGAAGGCCGGGTTAAAAAGGAGTTGTTTACCAACATGGCCGAGGATGTGCCCCCTGTTGTGGCTGTCTAGTACGAAAGCTATCTTGCTTCTAGCACACTGGTAAGCTATACCGGGATATTTTCCAATGGGTTCTAATGATAGCTTTGGGCTATTCATTCACTTACAATTTGAGCTGTCATGTTGCGCTTGCTATTTTATTAGAACAAGATTTAAGGTTAGAGGGTTGGTAGTGCCAATATTACAAAGCAGTGTACGTTTCTACACAGATTTAAGGTTGAAAATACTCTCGTTTTGGTAGCCCTTGTTTTAATTTTCGCTGCTACTATCGCTTATCATAAATAAGAAACACTCTGCAATAGCTCCGCCAGTAGAACTAGCTCACAAGTTTTGTACGTGGTTATGACATGCAGTGCTGTTTCTGAAGAAACTCCTCTTCATCATGTCATATCATCTGTATGTACGTTCACGTAGAAGGCTTTCGCAATAAGTCTCAGTTGAGCCTTCGGATTCATTCTTCCGGACATCTTTCTTTCCAATCGCTTATTGCTCGTACTCGCGATGCTGGTCTGTTTTCTGGCCTCGTAATCTAGAGCAATCCAGCCTGGGCAACTTGCTTGTTGACTACTTTGGTACCTTCCTTCTTTCGCTCCCTTTCCTATTTGCCCTTTGCTTTTTCTGTGCCCTAAAGAGAATCTTCCTGTTTAGTGCTATTCGCGACCTCCGTCTTTCAAGGAACTCGAGCGTCAGCGACGACAGCTGCAAACGTACTAGCAAGTTTTGTGTGGCTGAATGGCGAACGGCAGAGTACACACGAACAAAATGAGACTGCGTTCTACTTTTAAGGGGTGGCTAAGATGAACGCTAAGAACTTACTAATGCAAACAACTTGCGTACAATTTTGCAACGAATAAACACCGTTATTGTCCAGCGAAAATACTGCATAAAACAATTTAATCGGTTGGTAATCATTTCGAGCTGCTCGATGTTACTATTGGCGTACTGGTGGCTAGCTCTACTCAGCTTTTTCAACATTTCTGCTGTGCTTTGTGGTGTGGTTATCACTCAAGTTAACCAACATTGACATAAGTGATTACCTAGTTCGTCTAAATGGTTTTGCAGATACTGGACCGTTCCAACGCTAAGAGATCAGACCGATCTAATTAGAGACAATGTACGTAATGTTTTTATTATTATGTATTTGGTAGCGTAACATTCCGGCCTGTCTGTAACACGGTGTTTAGGTAATAGCATCAATGGAATATCTTGTCAAATTGGATGCTTATTTTAATTATGTACTAGTTATTTATTTATGTAATTAGGTACTAGTAAAAACAGTTGGGACAATGACTGTTGCAATAGAAATAACCACTTCAGCAAAAAAAAAAAACCAGTGGCATGTATGAAAGTGAGTTTTAGACATCGCCGCTACTACTGCTGCCGCTGATAACTTCGCTGAATGTCAGCAATGGCAGTGGCTTCAATGTTATTACCACTATCCATGGCAGTAATAGCATCCATGGCGATATCGGACGGTCGAGCATTACCAGGTTGGTAGTAAGGAGAATAAAAACAACATACGTGGCTATAATAGTGAATCTTCTATTCGAGTAAGTCTTCGAGGGTCGCCTGGAAAAGCGACAGGGAACATCGCGCACTCACTCGAAACAATCTTGTCAGATTATTAGAATGCGGATTGGATTTACGCATAAGACGTACGTACGTATGTACTGAATGATACTATGCCTGAAATACGGACGGTTAGGACGCTCAACGAACGGGGCAAGGTTCACCAGTGATTCACCTTTACCAATAGAGCACTCACGAAACAGAACCAATCAATCAAGGAACACGAAAAGAGATCCCTCTCTGCTGTCGCCGTTATGGACACTGGTGGCAATGGACGACGCCATCGCTCCGTCTGTCCGATCAACCGGTGCGGTGTCCGTCGCCGCAATTGGACCTCCGTTTTAAAGGAAGAGAACGAAGTCACTCGAAAGCTGATGGACGACGAAATCGTTGTACTGACAGCCACTAGTAACTAAGCTGTGGCTGATTGCGTCGCCGGTTAGTCCTTCCTCTGGTCAATACGATACGGCTAACTTTTGCGTCAGCAGTGGCCAGTGGTTTCCTCGTCTTATTATGGTTGCGCACCATAATAACATACAACGACGACGCTCACATCTGAAGCGCTCGTTGTGGCAGCACCAAAGATCTGCCAGAAAAAGAGCTACAGGCTGCCACGAAATTCTCAAGCTCAATTGAGAATATCAACCCGAATTTTGTGTGATGACCGCACTGGCTGGCTCATTCGGAGGCCGCAATTCTTACTCTACCCAACTAACTGAGTGGAGTCAGCAGTTCAGACGGTTTCAGCGGATGCAAAGGCCAAAGAAATCGAAATGCAGGCGACAAAGAAAAACGGCAACGCTCAGAGAGAGATCAGCAGCGACATATGAACATGCTCCTTAGGTTGCTGATGATGCCGATAATAGCGGGTGATGATCATTGAAAAGAAAGTCGGAACGGCTGCGAACGCATCGCTGATGATACCGCCGCCCCTTCTCCTTACGCTGCTGTTGCCGTCAGTGGCCAGCAGTGAATAGACAGACGGTAAGGTATAGCGGACTAGATTCGAGTAAGCGTCCGTAAATTTTGTTGGCTGACCACCACCAAAGGCCGCAAGCGCTACCATCACGAAAGGCAACCGCAAGCGGCTGAGCTTTTGCTGACACTGTTTAAGCCTCGGCCACGATCCCGCTCGACGCTTATGACGCCGGACGACATCATCAAGCTAGATGTACAGCCTCCGCAGCGGTGACGGTAGTAGCAGTAAAAGAAGGCGGACTGCGGCTATTTCTGATAGCGCGTTAGGCGCCTGTCGGCACCATTTGCCGTTCGGTTGACCGCTGACCAACAACGAGATTTTGGCTGGAGCTATATTATTTACAATAGCCGCCAGCAACATCCTCCATGGCTTTCTTTATCTAGTGGCCTTTCCGCTTGTTTTCTTTTCGTGCTTTCAACCTCGCGCTTTTTGCTATGCGTCCCCTTTGCGCCGATTATCCGACACCCAACGACCGCCATAGCTGTGCAATGCGTTCGATTCATTTCTACCAACCTGAACCAAATAAGAAGGGCAGAGCATATAGGAAGGACTTCTGTTAGTTGTTCCAATGATTCGCTTGTGAAGCACAAGTTGAAGTCAGCTGAAGCAACAACAATAGCCACAGTGATGATGGTGACCGTAGCCTGCTAGTTTATCTTTAAAAACATCCTTCCCACTGCACTAATAACATACACCCAAATTTGCTCTTTTACCCCATCTTTCTCCCAATAATATACGTTCGACTCAGAACGCAGATATGTTCTTACATATGTTTGCTTAGTCTCTCGCTGAACTGCTGTCGCTGCCGCTAGTAGGCGTCCGTATTGATCCCTGTCGTTGGAGGAGTTTGCCTTAGTTCCCGTGTCGCTGTTAAGGAGACCCAGTCAGAAAGAGGATCACTGAGGCTTCTAATTTTCGCTTGCTTTCATCTCGGTACATCCATCGGAGCTGTGTTACTTCGTGTAATTCATGTAATGGCGCAAACAATTCTAGTTGTAACAGTGGAGTTCCAAGAAAGTTAATTGCTACCTAGAGAAAATAATTAAAAGCGATACGAAAACTATCCAACATTCTCTCATTGAGGAGCGAACGATTGCCGTCGAGGACATTTTGCGGGTGCGCCAGGGAGCGCTGACCGCATGACACGTAAGGCACGTTATGTGTGGCACGAAACGCGGAAGAAGGCATGACTTTTTCTAGAGTCATGCCTTCGACGTAACCGGATAGGGAAAAGTGAAGTATTCCAATAAGTGAGAACTGTGAGACATGCAATGGCAATGTTGAAAACATATATCACTTGATCCGTGGTGAAGTTTGTAGAAAATTTCACACGACCTCATTTCGATTGCGGTACTAGCCGAATACCCTACATTTGATTGACACACGATACAATTCAACGTTACAGACCCTACCGCAGACAGACACATTGAAGACAGCATTCTCGAACAAATGATTGTTTGTCGCCATTTCCAATACACTCTAGCGGTTTGCATTTTCATCCCTCCTGTGAAAAAGATATCGTTAATGTAGCCCCAACGATGGCACTATCCATGTGATCTGGACAATACGGGGCATCAGTTGAAACACGCTGCAGCTGCAACATTGGAAGATACGTTGAAGCAAGATAGAACTTCTGGGGCAAGCGCAGCTGATGAGTCAAGGGCTAGGGTCGCTGTGCCTCTGATGCTGTTTTGAAGATGGACCAAAGGGCTGAACGTACGATTTTCACGGTTTCAAAAAGGGCTCTAGGCGCTAAGTTCTGCGGTGTCGTAACCGCAACGACATGGGCACTTTACAATCGGAGGCTATGGTACTACTGCACAACAAAGGTAGCAGTCATACAACGGCTGTGGCGTTCAATACTGGCCTTCAAAATGGCATTAATAGCGAACTGCAACAACTACGATTAGAACCGGACACTGCATTGTCCTTATTCTACATAGTTACATGTTTGGTATGACGTGTATAGTTGCAAATTGTAGGACACGAAGAATCTGTATCCCAAAGTAGAAAGGTTTATTGGTCCTATAACATACCTTGTTGATCCAAGGGACAATAATCGCAAGCCTAAGCGAAACTTATATTAGCCACAACCATCATAGCTAGGCATCGAAATAAAGTGAGATTGCAGATGTTCTTCTATGGGCCTTATAAGCCAGAGGTGTACGGTTCATCGCCGTTCCTAGTTGACAATCTACTATGTTCCACTTTGAGAAAGCGGGATTTCATCCGATCTGACCTCAAGCCACAACCAAGGCACGAGGTAAAGAGAAAAACTTTGGGGTGAGCAAAAACTTGCAAATGAGTCTCTGTATGTAAATGAATTTCATGGCTCTCAGGGGAAACTAAATCCATTACCTGGGTTGTTGATGCGCAATATTCTGTTTTTCGAAACATGAACTTTCTTACCGGCATTTTCTGCCATCCTATAAAGTCAGCTATGGCTGTGGCACTCTGTCGTAATATGGTTATTATTAGCTTGCAATTTTTACTTAAATTTCAGTCATGCTTTCAGACGCAAACATAGATACAATAAATTTATCATTTCGTTTTTAAAAAGAGAGTGTTGTAAGTTTGAGAATTAAAGTGTTGTATTTCTGTCTGTTTTTCATTCATGTTAGATTTTTCATAGAGATGAAAACATAGTGTTACTATAAATTACACTAAAATCAATCTATATATAGACACTGTGTCGTCTTTGCAAACATAAGCCCATTGTTAACCCTCCTTGTTTTCTACGTCGAGCCACTATCTTTATCAGCTTCTATTGTATCTGCTTGAACCGCCCCATTAATGTGAGCCGATCACTGATGTAGCTACAAGGCTGTGTAGCCTTGCAAGTGTGTATACCTGGTCTGCCCGTTGGGCACAAATCTGCGCCATAGCTCCTCGCCAACTTAGGCACCCAATGCCGATGGCATAATAGGATGAAACGCCTGATTACTGGTGAGCTCGACCGCATGCTGGCTTCGATAGGACCGCCATGACCAGCGGCAGCCCCACGATGATGGGAATGAGGAGTGTGCCTATTAGGAGTAGTTCGTTGTTTCGTCGCCGGCTTTGGCCTATACTCTATAGTGCAGTCAACAGTACTTCGGCCGTGTAGTTGTCCTCTGTAGTTCAGGGTGCTCTGATGTTTTTATTGCAATCGTTGGGGGGTGACTATGGCACGATGAGCAAGTGAATGCTAGTGTTGTTGCAACGAGCAGCACTTAGGCACCCACCCTGCCACACAATACTCAGTGACTTACTTTAGTTGGCCACTTTCGTCTAGAGGATTACCGGATCGGAGAAGGGATTATACCGCATTCGCTAACTTAGTGAGGCGCATATAAATCGCCAGATTCAAGCGTACGAATCACATACACAGAAACACAAACCAACCCGATGACATACGCTTATCTCCATATCCGTCCACGTTTCAACATATCCATTAATAATGTTTTCTCTACACAGATAAACTTTACATAAATCCATGAGCATTCTTTTTGAGTGGTGGATGCTTTTTATATCGCATTGGAGCATCGGCTTCGCGAAGGTCGTACCCGATCGTCTACATAGTTTAA